AAATTCCAACTCAAAGTCTTTTCCCCCCTTTTAGACTTTGAGCCTCTCTACCCATTTTCCTGGAAGTCGAGATATCGTCGATGGTTGAAACTGAGGCCGGTGGTACATCTCCGGACGAGTGAGTCTGATGCTTTTTCTCCCCTGAAAAGTGCTGCTTCGTGCGTGAGAGATCTAACCGAGCGCCGCACCACTTCGTTTAGGACCGACGGATCCCGCCTTGCCACCTCCCGCAGCTCGAGCAGGGGCAACAGCACCTCATGAAACAAAAACAACTGTACCTGCTGATGGTGAAGGTCAGTTGCATTTTGTATCATATAAGTAGGGTGGGGAAGTGCAAAGAAAAACAAGGAAGCAATATGGAACGAAAACAAAGACTAAGTACTTCTACTTCCTTCTGTAGTAATGACTTTTTGGTCACGTGCGGCTTTCACAAAGTGCAAGTGTCGATTTAATTTTCCCAGTCATGGCTGAATGGGCGTTATCGACCGAAAATGCCTAAGTTGTCACGAACACCCGTTCAAAATAAAAAGTTCAAGTTTCAATTCTTTCGGATGTGTGGCAGAATATTTCCGTCATTTTTCTTCGAATAGAAAAATACATTTTGTTGCCACGATTTTCGATTGGCCTCCTTTCCACGAGCAACAAAGTTCTTCAACAAAGTTCTTGTTCTTTGGCCCTCGTATGACCGTTCAGCTGAGACATTGCCCTATAATTGAATACCAGCAATACGTCATTGCATCATTTTCATCTGTTTTTTAGAATTCAATCGAATGTGCTCTAAATTGAACACGAAATTGCGACTACAGGTACAGAATGTTCCCACGGAATAACTCGCTTCCCGAGTAACGTATCAAGAATTCCTCCGTAATTCTGTTAGAGGAGAGTTTTCTGATCGTGTCGATACCTTCATCACCAGATTCCGTGCAGATTTCGTCTCGGAATATCCTCTCTAATGAGCTCCATGCACTATATTTGAAGGGATCAAAGGATCCGAACCCCTTGACGGACCTCCATGCGACTTCTATATTTGTCAAACTCGAGAAATTCTCCAGAACGCGGGCTCAAGTTGAACGCCGATATTTGCACGTCAAAGAGAATGGAATAATTTTTATCATCATTACTCATGTCCCGCTTTTTCGTTTTTCGTTTTTTTTTTTTTCTCGAAGTTTTTCGGTAGTCCTTTCGAGAAGATATTCATGACGGAGGTGTGCAGCTTCTGACTTTATAGAACACCCAACTCCATTCCTTCGCCAAGTTTCGTGACGATCCTTTGAAAAAGAGTCAATTTTTTGTAAATAATGTGATAATAATTTGGTATAATGGTAATACTTTCCTGGAAAATGGTTCAATGTGTCCATCACTTCCCGGCTTTTTACTCACGTTCTAGGACGAAATTGCAAAAAGTAGTACGGCCATTTCATGAAAGAGGCTCTTCCGATTGAATAGTGGTAAGATCAACGCTTGTCGGTGCTTCGTACTCGGAGGAAGAAAGTTTTGAAATATAGGAGCCACCCGGACTGTTCCTCCCTACGTCCTCACTCCCCCTTACATGGGGCACTGCTTAGCCGCTGTATGCCTCCGCCCTTGTTTAAAGAGGGTTTCGTTCAAGAGATGAGATGACCGTACTCTCGAGCTACGTCGTCGTTGTCTGCCTTCGTCGGGCTCTATCCCAGAACTCATAGATTTTTTCCCTTTTTGTCGGGGGATCTCAGAGTATAAGGGTTGCTAAATTAGCGATCTGTTATATTCTGAATTTTCGACTATTTGAGCGTTCGGTATGGACCTCGGTGTGGTTGGCCCATTTCATTGTAGCACTCCCCGTCCCCTGTTCCGACTGTAACAAGAAATGTTGGACAAACCCATTCCAGTAGTAGGCCTCCTTACGAAGATAATTATGAACATGTGGTTGTCGTTGGTAGACTGGGAGATGGGAGGAGAGTCGGACGGGCAGCATTGCTAGATGTGCTATTGCGTGAAATGAGCTAGCGACCCTGTCTTCGCGTACATGTTCATTCTCTCTTTTCACTGTCAAGGATGGATCCGAGAATTATAACGGCTGGAAGGAAACGAATACTTCTAGCTGGTGATGTGACACTCCAACCCAAGCTGAACGATTTACGTACATGCCCCTTGAGGTCAAGGTATAGGAATGTTAACGATTTGGATGCCTTTCCCGCTACAGGCAAATTTCAAATTCTAAATTTGCGACGTAAGACCTAATAACCTTGAGTGTCCACGCGGAACATCACCCATGGCGCTTTTTCCCGCCACCTCATGAAAGTTCTGAATCCAACCCATCCAATAACTTGGATTTCTGGGACTCATTCCTCGCCTCTGCTAAACTTGAATCTAAATCTAAATCTAAATCTAAAAGTAGTCTAAAAGCAAAAAGTATATTGTTCGCTCTGACCCTTTAGCCTAAGATTTAGATTTAGATTTAGATTTAAGTTTAGCAGAGGCGAGGAACGGGCCCCTAGTGTGTGCTTGACTATCGCGTCCAAAGTTCCCGCTTTCGACAATCGCTGCTCGCCACTTGGACAAATGAAGTGCCTCCACTAGGGAAAACATCCCAGCTGAGAAGCTATTGTCGGAAAATAATTATTTTCCAAGCAGCTGTATGCACCAGATAGCATATTCCTACTTGAGTCAGGAACTACAATCGCTCGCCTCGATGAGCAAACAATCATGTTTGCTCATTATGTCATGAACCGTATGAGAGGGAGGTTCTGAATGCAATATCCTGGGAGCGAGGCAGGAGAGACAAGGAAATATCGAGTATGCCAGGGAATACTGACAGGTTTGACTTGACACAAGGGAAATTTGCTTGCTGATAATTCTCATTTGTTAGTTTGGTTCATATTCTGCAAGGTTTGAGTTTCATCTGCTATGATAAAATGAGTAGCTTATCGTACCATTACGAAAGCACAACGTGTGTTTCGACGTGAGTTAGGAGTCTTGTAGGAAGTTGGAACAAACACTAAATTGACATACTGAATATTGCGAAAAACAGTTCACAAATCTTTGTACGATAAGCTACTTCAAAATGTTCTATGACTGATAAAGCTTCAATCCTTGCAGAATAACAACCTACTAAAAATTTAAGAATGATCAGGATACAAGTTTCTCTTGTAAATTTCAACCGTGTGAAGTCTTCTTTGACACACTCTGTATTAGCCTTCTATTCAATTCAACATTTTCCTTTTTGAATAAGTTTCTTTTTGAAATGTCATAATCAAATTGCTGAGAGTTAAAATTTGACAGATGAGAGGATTTGAAGGTACCTTACTTTTGGCAAAATAAGCCCTTCTCCCAAAAATTAAAAAAACTCTTCAGCCTATCTTAGGCATCAGAGAATTTGGGGAAAAGGTGAAGCGACTTCTATTACTGATACCTATTACCAATAAAATTACTGGAAAATTTGAAGTTGGCCAATTAATTTTTTTTTTCAATTGGGTGACTTGGGATGGAATGACCCAACTGCATTGTGAATGTGGAATTCATATTAGAATGTTATGGGTTGCTAAAGAACTTCTCACTCTGAGCATTTGCAAGCAGGAATGAGCTGTTTCAATGAGAATGTGCATGGCCTTCCCCTATCTGAAGGAATCCTGTGCACAGCTAGTTCACATCATAGGAAGATACCATGATTTTGCTTGTTCTTGTAACAGTTGGGAAAGGCAATGACTTAAAATAGAGTTTTTCTCCTTTTTCACTTAGGAAGTCTCACATTCACTGTGATCCCTAAAGGATAAGCTTGTTTGAATATTGATATCCAAAAGTTGGTCTAGACTGCTTTCCGACATGTAAGAATAGCCTAAGCCTACTAGAAGTTTCACCTATCGGGCATTTTCTTGGTTTTATCTTTCAAATTTGCATGGTTTAAAGTTTTCTTCTCTTTAGAGGTAATTATATATGATAATGGCCCAGCCGGCACAGCCCGAGGTGAGTCACCTGGCCGGAGGGTTGTCCTGTATATGAGGGAAGAGCTCACTGTAAGCTGCGCTATGGAAGTCTTGGTACATGCGTACCAACCAAGGTGTCATGCCTGACCTCTGACCTTTGATCCCTGTCAAGAGATCTACATCACTATCTCTTTGAATGTAATTAGTTCATAGCCACTTCTCTTTCCATTTCATACTGATTACCAGAGACAAGGGACAGAGTCATGTTTACATTAAAGCCAGTACTTTAGCTCCTAAGTGTCAAGAAATAATGGGAAATGCCCTAGGATTAGACCTTCTTCCTCATAGGACTTCACATCTAAGCTGAAGAATCTAATGAGTGTAAGCAAGTATGAATGAATGCATAAATGAACCATTGCCTTATCCAGACCCTTATTCTAACAGAACATTACAGGCATTGAAAATAAAAATAAATATAATGGGGGGAAAAGTGGTTTCTCAACCACAAAAAAGTCTAAATAAAAACAACAAAATCACATTATACAATGACCAGGTATATATATTAACAGAAATTCTTCTCTCCCCTACAGACCCCCTAGTCTGGCACAGGGAGGTTCCTATTCAAAGGTAGGATGGCTGGCGATGGTCCATAATCAGCTATAAAAGGCTGGACTTAAAAAAAATTCACCCCTTAGTTAAATATCATTCATCAATCCAAACGAAATTGCCAGATTGCTTTCACTGCCAATCATCAATGACTCCTGGTTGGTCATGTCAACAGGATTCCTCATGTCCTTACTCCTGTGAGGAAACCAGCAACAAATCCAAATGCGCTCATCTTCCAGTCCATCTCCTTCGTGACGATGGGTTCCTTGCTTTCATGACATGAGCTTAAATATTGCCTTGGTGGGTCCTTGTGGTCACAGCATGTGTGGAAGGATTGCCTCAGGTCCACAATCAAAAATACAAAAGGTATTATTACAATAGGTTAACATGAGAAATTCTCAAATTTGGCATAAGTCAGGAGAACTCCAAAAACTCCATCTCATCATTCCCTCAATAAATACAAGGATTGACATTGGAATGTCAGTACAACTTTTAAGCACAATCAGGTCCTGGAGATGTGATCAGTATTTTCTCGTACATATTACTTTCCAATGAGCATAAAAGAGGATGAGGTGATGTGGAGGATGCATGACTCTCAGGATAACTTAAAGAAATGTAAACCTGAACACAACAGAATCAAATCCATCACAGGTTGAGGAAGATTGCTAAAACTCCTACCGATGCACTCCAAGAACATCACGCATTTGATTACCCGTATTAATGACACATTGAATTCAAGATGCCTGAGAAAGGGCATTTCAGGGAGATGTTCCAGGAGATCCTTGCACTTTGAGCTGACATAAGAGGTGAGTAGATGCTGAATATCACAGACAGATTGGGTCCTTTCTGAAGAAGACCCAGAGAGCCACAATGGGAAAATGTCTTCATCAATTTGCACCCCATCAACCATGATCTTCTCTCTTGCTATGAGCTCCTGCAAGGCTGCAGAGCATGCTCGAACCCATGGCAACTCTTCTGCATAGGTACTCATTTCTCCCTTATCAAACATGCAGTCTTGCTCCTGCCAAAAGAAAAAAAAAATTGTGATAGGCAATGTAAGAGAAGATTTCAAACCCCAAGTATTCCCATATCTTTCTATATAGTAATTGCTGTCTACTGCCTCTCACCCATTTATCTTCCTCTCATGAATATGTGATACCATGTTAAGGTTACATTTCCATTTTAGAATAAAAATGAGTGTAGGTTGTAATAATCACTCTAATTTTATCATTCTCTGATAAAACATTCAGTCTCATATTATGTGGATCAAATGTGGTTAATTGGTAATGAGTAAGGATGTCATTATGGGACTTAAGAATTAAATGCTCAAGGGTAAGCTTCTTTTCCCCCAGGAATTCAAGGAGGAGAGTCTGAAAGGGTCAAACCCTTAAGTCAGCAACAGAGAAAAGGGAGAGGGGAGATGGAGGCCAAGGGAGGGTGATGGAGGGCATCATTGGCACAGCAAGATCCATGAGCCACCACTTATCCCACATAAGCTTGGATTGTACATTTTTCTCACTACTGTGAAAATAAATAAGAGGTTTAAAAAATTGTTGAAGTTGTAAACTCATTACCTCATCCAGTTCAAAAGAAACAGCAGAAGAGGCATCCCAAAGGATGTTCTGGACCAAGAAGGCCACTGACTCAGGTTTTCTTTCACATATTTGAATGAAGAGAGCAGGCCATGAATGTGAGCCAGGTGAGGCTCTTGAGGAATGAAGCAGCTGACCTCGTACTTCCTCTACCTTTTCCCGTATCATCTCTTCGTCATCTCGATGCAGGAGGAAAGCAGTTCGCCACCAGCGAATCTCTGCTTTGACCAGGTCCAGTCCTAGGGAAGATTTCTTACAGTCTCACTGCCACACAACATCCATGCATAATTTTGAATATATTTTGCAAACTCAATCTTTGCCCCCTCCTGTCAAATTTGTGAAGAACCACAAAGTTTGATTTTGGTGATGCAAATCACAAATTAGTGAACAATGTCACCCAAAAGACAGATTGGAATATTTTGGTCACACAAGAAACACATTCCCAGCAATACTTTTTCAGATCTCCTCAGGAAATGACCAGTTACTGATGAAACATGGTGGAATCAATAACATTAGGGAAGGAATATAACATACTTTAGACTTTCTGTATGAACCTGAGAGCTACTTGTGAGAGCGGGAATTCATACAGAATATGGTCATATGCAGAACTATTCAATAATTTGCTATCAAGTCTTCTGAAATATTGAACCACTAGAATGTTGGCATAATCATAAAATGATTGATAGAACCAGAAATCCATATAGGATCCTTGCTCCTCTAATTTATAAAGAATAGAACTCTCTCCCATAAGTTCCTCTTTTCCAAGTGAAAACTCATCAGGTTGCAAGAGATCTTGATATTTCAATCAGAACTGTAATTCACATTGTTCCTAATGACAAAAACAAATGGTTGAAGAAAAGGAAAAACTCTCCGTGCCTCAACGGTTGACCACGTTTCTAGGAGGGCCACCATCTTAACTGGTTTGTCACACATCCCCAGTATTACACAGAGATGAATCCACATGTGCAATGGAACTCTCACCACTGCTCTAGGACCTCATGAAACAAGTACCTCAATCAAAGCAATAACTTAGCCGTAGCTAACCTTGTTACCTTACTTATTGAACATCTCTCATATAATAGTTCTCTTCGAGATTTTAGATCTCTTGCAGAGTAGTACCACAGAAGTATCCAAAGGGTTTGCAAATTAAATATTAAAATATTACAAAATACATTTTTGATCAGAAAAAATTAGTGTCTCACTGTGAATGGCAATCATATGAAGAGCATATGCAACTCGTAGGCGAACGCCATTGAATCGCTCTGGCTCAGCCAATCTAAGTGTCAAATCGAAGAAATGGTCCCAGAGTTCACAAGAAGCATGATGGGACAGAGCAAACATGGTGGCTGTTAGAGCCCTGTAAGCAGCAACACAGGCTTCTTCCCGGTTTTCATCTTCTAATATCATTGAGATTGTTGTTGCAAGGGACAAAAGAGTCTCTGACACACAAAGATCAGAATCTTGTTCCAAGATGTGACAAATTGCAAGCAGAATTGCTTCTCGAGCATATAGGTGATCAGAGAATGAGAGCATATGAGTCAAGGTGTCCATTAGGTTGTCTTTATCGGTGACAAATGTGCACTCTTGAGAACAAATGAGCCTCAAGATGTGCTCCTCCTGCAAGATGCTCCCAGCAGTCACTGTCAATTGCCAGTCCTCTTTTGAGTCTGTTTTCAAGAAGAAGTCACACAGAGACACAATGACATCAGGATTAGGGCATTTCACGAGTTCGTTCAATAATTCCATGGATGCAGACGTTTTTTGAAGGAGATGATGATTGAGGAGAGACACTTGGAAGGATACAAAGCCTGGTTCATTAGAATCAGCAAGGAGAGACGATGTCACCATTCGCAGATTGCAATTAGTTGCAACTGAGTTTCCCATCAGGGAGAAGAGACACAAAATGTCCAATGCTGTAGCAGAGATCAAATGGCAAGGATTATCTCCTGAAGCCAGATTGGCAAGGTTGACCAAATGTTCCTCCAGATCTGGCAGATGTGGAAATTCTTCCTTGATCATGCTCAGCAGGATTTGCCTTGCCTGTAAATATGAGAAATAGTGAGAACACAGAAAACTTTCTCTTTTGCTAAATTATAGGTTCCATATGATGCCAACACAGATTAGGTGTACTGTGGTTGTCTCCTGCCTTTGAAAGAGGAATGATTTTTTAATTCGAGTGCATATATTGTAGCCAATTCATTCATTGTTAATAATTACAATTGTGAACCAATCTCATGAAAAAACATTCATTCACATGTAAGACCAGAATGAGCAATAAGGCATCTCTCACGTCCTAAACTTTTTTGGCTGAATACCTGCACTGCATTCTTTTACTGAATCCCCTTGGAGAATATCATCACACTAAGTCATGGGTTTCAACAAGGAATATGTATCTGATGGATAACTGAATGTATTATTTTCACATGCTATTGGGAAGTCCTAGTTACAGCTGAGGCTTTAACTAGGACTCATTGTGTGTTATTGTGTGTTGGCAGCAGCATATTGGTGTCAACATAAGACTAATCTATTTCCCCCTTAATGACTTTTAGATGATGAATTGAAAACAGAAGGACTTGGTGGATGGTATTGCTCAGCCAGCAACTCCCTTTTTTTTGAGAAATGTCTGATGCACAATGCAAGATAGTTACAAAGACCAACACTCAGAGGAAGAAGGACTCAGACATATTTTGACAGCCATTGTTGCTGAAGTGGAAAATAACCACTTTTCACCAAAAGAAAGATGATGGCAGTATGTTTGAGAGAAATAACTCTATATTGGCATTACAAAAGAATACTCTCTGAGCACTATCTGACACCCTACACATTTCAAGTCCAGGTCATAGAATGAAAATGTAGAAGAATGAGAATGTAATACCATTAGGAGGAGTCCATGAATTTTGTTTGATGTAGAGTTTTGACATTCTTTGAGGGCATGGAGAATAGAAAGTAAAACATGAGGCCTCCTTGGAGGGGTGAGAATGGCATCCAGGGCTCTCCCAGCCAACACTCGAATCTTTTCTATGCAATTCCCTCCACACTCTATCAATAGGGGTTCAAACATCTCCAACTAGAGGAAGATATATAATGCTTTAATTTAGGAAGGACAGGAGAGAGAGAAAGCCATCAAGATATTTACACTTTCTTGAGGGTGAGACGAATTGAGGGCAGAGGGATGAAGGCGGGAGAGGATGAGGAGAAGTGGATGAAGGTGGACAGTGGGAGGAGGACTGGAAACTGCCAATGCCAACTCGTTCAGAAGAAAGGGCTTCAGTTCAGGGAAGCGGGTAAAGAACGTCTGTCCCGTCATCCTGTTCTTCTCTGACCCCTCTATACGACCTCGTTTCACACCAAATGTGCGCTGGATCAAGGCACTCAACAAAAGACTTGCTGAGTTTCTCTCCTAAAGAAGAGAAAATACGCCACTTATGAAGGAACATTTTGATTCATAACTGAAAGTATACAATGATATCACTTTCAATTAACCTTTACCATGAGCCAGCTTGTTAAATGGGTTTTAACTTTTGAATATACATAAAATAGTGATTGGCAATGCTAAGGGTGGAATGTATTAGGCTGATTAGAAGTCTCACTTCAAAGGAGAGCTTGTCACATTATGTGATTACAAGGTATATTTTGAACAGTTTATATCTATCCTATTTTATAGACTGGAAGGAAAGCTGAGGAAGTAACATCTTACCATAATTCAGTACTGGTAATTATCATTTTATGGGAATGAAGAAGCCAAAAACAGAGGTTCTGCACTACTATACAAAGTTTACTTGATTATCAACTCATGCACAGAAGGAAAGGGTGTGGTTGGAAGTAGGGAGAGTACATTCAACAGATAGGAAATCAGAGACCAAATGATGTAAGACCACTGAGCAGTGATAACTTAGGAGAGATGCACAAGCTGGCATACAGAAATGAGAAAAAAGAGGAAAGACAAACTGAGAGATTCAAACATACTCCCCAAACTTGGCTCTTGAATCCAGCAATGGAGGCTTTGATGCCTCCATCAACATAAGGGAGAACGAGTTCAGAGAGGCGGGAATCTCGATACAGAGCTCTGAGGATGTTGAATGCATGGATCCTTTTCTCAGGGCTGCTGCTGTCACCTGCTTGGGCCATACCAATTAGGAGCTTCATTGTCCTGCGGAAACTCTCATGGTTTCTCACCTTTGGCTCTGTTACCAACATTGCCTGGAAAGGAGGAAAAGAAAAAGGGTCTTGTGAGTCATGGGAAGACTTGTTCTATTTAAAATTCATTCCATGCATTGTCATGTTGGCAAAATGCCCTTGAGGTCAGAATCTGCAGAATATGCCTTAAGTTGTTCAAGTGATCCATCTCATACTACTTCCAGTGACCCTAGAATAAGATTTGATTAAATTTTAAAATGGATTGCAGACTTTCTTCCTCATAAGTTCTGGTCATTTACTCATACAAAAAACAAGGGGAACCTCATTCCAATCACCTAATTTAATTAGACAGACCAGTTTCATGTCAAACTTATCCAGCACACTCTCCTGGAGGAATTTTCAGATAAATGCTCTTAACTGCACAGTTAAAGAGAGTGAAGAGAGTTTGTGAAAGTGCGTTTGTTGGACTCTGAACAACATATTTTTCTGTAGCAATTATGCATTTAGATCTAAATTTGTGGTGTGAAACTTGATTACCTATACAAAAGCGAATGACTTAGACCAAATCCATGGTGAAAACAGTAGGAAAAGTATGGAGTCCATTGGACTAGCATATCCATTTATATTTTTAAAAATACCTTGCATGGAAAGGATTAATATAAGCAATTTTTTTTATGGTTTTATAAAAAAAAAATGAAAAAAGGAACACCTGCATAAAGAAGGGGAAGCCAGCACTCCGACGAGTTGCACTTCCCTCCTCCTTGGCACCTGTTGACAAGTTTTCTATGGCATCTTCCAGCCAAAGATCAGGTATCAGCCTTCCTGACTCTTTGTCTTCTTCCCTGTTGAAATGACAGAGAACATGATTTAATCACATTGTATTCCCTTCAAAACTTTTTGCTAAAAGATCTTTGCAACAGCATCAAGAATTAATCTAAGCATGTAGAAAATTTTTCAGACAAACAAGATCACATAAAACACAATTGATTATGCACATAGAGCAATGAATGACTGGAGGAGGGACTCACCTCCACAAATGAGTGGATACACAAAGAAAGCCAGCATAAGTCTGCTCAAAAGCACCTCGGTGCTTGATGACAGAGAGCCAATGAGCCAGCCTGTGTCCTACATTGAGAAGGGCATCTGAGGGGAGGAGGGAGGAGAGAGATCCAAGGAGCAATGCTGCCTCCTTCACAGTTCGCCAGCCACAGAGAAGAAGCATCTGGGATGTCACTGCCACAGCCTTTGAAGCCCCATCCCCATCACTGGGGATCTCCACCATCAGACCTCCTTTAGCTCTAATGGACTGTGATACTGCCCCTGAAAGTGGCCCCTCCATCTCTGCAAACAAAAACCATCATTCACTTGAACATGGATCCATGATGTATCTGACAATATTTCAATGTAATGCTGTGTCCACATGCTTCAAATGAAGGCCTACTGGTACAAACTAGTACCAAAGAATCTAAAAGCATATTAGGTCTACTGAAGATAAGCTATTATCTTTAACTTCCACAGATAAAATAACAGTTAATAATAATAAAAAATACAGTCTCTGATAATGAGAAAGAGAAGGTACTGATTTACCACTGGGCAGGGAAGAATCCATTGGAAGATGTCCTTCTGGAGAACTGTTTGCCACAACAGGCATGACAATGTCTGTTGCATCAAAACATAACTTCACCATCTGAGAAATTCTTCTCCTCCCCACATCTTGATTTTTCCTAGAAATGCGTTATATGCTATGTCAAAATCTACAAAAGCTGCTGTGCCATACAGGAAGAGAACATATTACTATGGGGGTATTACAGTCTGTTTTACAGTATACAGTTGCAAAAAGAAAAATCATACAGCTAGGATAAGAATGAAGGATCATCATACAAATATGTTGGTTCCTGTTCAGTCAAGACATCAAGCATGAGACGATGCAGGCAAAGTAGAGTTCCATACATTGGACCAGATGCAGCTGCAGCCAAGAGGTTTTCTTGGGCAACATTGATCTGCTTCTCCAAGTCCTTCACAAGCTCATCTATAAGCCAGGATCTCACATCACACCTATTAAATTATATAATAAAAGAAGCTGCAAGTCCTATAAAGCACTTAGCTATACAAAATAGTAAATACAGATTTAGGAATCATTCTTACATAGATTCAGACTGGAAATAAAAGCTTGGATTTGCAGCAGCTTTCTTGACCAGGAAAGAAAGGAGAAATGCTGCAGTTTGTGAGTCAGGAGGACGTGGACTTCCAGCCATGGTTCTTCCAACTCCTACCAATCTCTGAAAATCAATTTCTGTATTGGGGTAAGATGTACATTGACCTATCAAAAAGTTCCAGGACCAGCCTTCATATGAGCAATCTATGCACAGAAATTAGGTTTCAGTATGATCCCCTTCAAAATAGTTTCCTTGACTTGCAATGCACATTTCCCCACATTTGTGAAGAGCTTGAAACACTGGCTGTAACCCATTCTTAGCAACCTCCTTCAATGTGTTGATTGAAGCAGAGGCCTTTCAGATGGAAATTCATTTTGGGAAAAAGTGTGAAGTCACAAGTAGTGTTTTCTGGTGAGCACAGAGGATGTGGGAGCAACGTCACCCAAAGATTAATAAGAAATTCCATGATACTGCCATGGTACTGATTGATGGCAGACAGTCACTACAGACAAGCTCAGGAAGGGCCTCCTTTTGGCTTTTCTATGACTGTCCAGTGTATTCATGCTCACCAGATCTTGCAACTTGTGACAAACATGTGCCATTTCCCTGAATGAAGTTCCATTTGAAAAGTTGCTGCTTCAACATAGGTGCTCTCCAGTCAACTGTGATCAATGTATTGAAGGAAGTTGCCAGGAATAAGTTAGAGCCAGTGTTCTAAACTCTTCACAAACATGGGAAGAAGGGTATTGCAAGTCAAGGGATCTATTTCAAAGGGAGCTGAAACCTATCTTCTGTACAATTTGCTCATATGGTCAGTTCAGGAACATTTTGATTGGTACACATAGATGCTGGTTGACCCTACAAAATATGACTGGAATTTAGGTTTTCATGGAAACAGGAAATAACTGACTTGGAGAAAATCTCAGGAAGCTCACTTTGAAAATTATGTAACACTAAGCCACACAATGCATTCACAATCAAACTGAATGTCATTGAAAGATTCTGTCAAGATTGGGTAGTCCGGGGCAAAATCTTTCTTTCTGAAAAGTACAAGGTGACTTCAAAACATCATCCACTCTGTTTCACCTTGCAATCTGACAAACTTCATGGTCTGATCAAAAATCCAGAATGTTCACACATTATTCTTCCTTAAATTCCTATGGGCTACATGACATGAATCCAAATGTCAAGATAATTTCTCCTCTCACCTGCCAGTGACCCTCTGTGCAGAGAAGAGGTAATGATGTCGGTGGGTAATCCATCAGAAGAGAAGATGCAATAATTTTATTCTCTTCATAGGTGTCCCTCAAACAGAGGAACGCTATGAAGCCATACCAAGATGTTGAAGCACTGGTAGCAAAGGAAATATGGTCTCTCAAGTGCTCATGGATAAGATGGAGGATTTCCAGGGCCATGATGCGATGAGGGAAGTTTCCACAGGGGAATAAAAATTCTAAACACAGCCCATAGAGTGACTGAAGAAACTCATCATACACCTTCGGCTCACTGGAGTCCCAACTGCATGAAAGCCTCAGCAAGACCTATTAAGAAAAAAGTAGGCTTTGACTGGACATATTTTAGGAACCAGATAAAAAGAGAATCTCTATATCATGAGCTGTTCATCTCCTACCCACACAATATGGTGAAAAAAGTGACTGCTAGAGTTTTAACATTCATATCTGTGCATTCTGGAGCTCTTTTCTTGCCTTTATTAGGTTATCATTTCTCCAACATTGTTTTGAAATATTATCCAAATTCATTTTAATTAAGCAAGACATAGGTGGTTTGTTAGTTTGTAGCACAATTCATGTGGTGTTTTGATTTATAGGTAATGCATGGTAAGGTGAGGCATGGTAAGGTGAGGCATGGTAAAGGTAAATGAGTCACTGATGTATATATAAGGATTTGGATTATTTCCCTCCAGGGGTCTTGGAGGATCTAAGGCACACCCCAGATGACTAAAAACTTCTGGGGCTTCTGATGCTAGAGAATGAATAAGTTTCATAACAAATTGCAAATGGACAAAGAGTCTCTCTCATTGGAGAACATCAAATACCATAAAATAATGAGGTGATTTACCACAGAATTTGATAAGTCAGCATAAGCATGAGCTGTAATTTTTCAAAGAGAACATCATTTCTGCTGGTATGAGATTGAAGCTTTTTTGATGCTGTACAGTCTTCCATAACTTCTATTACTAGCACTATTTCTATTCACTATTCCTAGCAGAGGACCTCAAACATGTGAACAAGTTACTTCTTCCTCTGAAGAAGGCCTGTAAGTTGCTACAGGCTAAGCAGGACACTTAATAATCTAGGAAAATTGTGGTGACACAATGGACAAGACTTGGAAGTATCCAACAACAATGATGCTATATAACTAAGTAACAATGCAACTCATACCTTCTTGATATGAGCCGTAACCTGCTGGTGGAAGGCTGGTGAATGATGAGCCATGTTCTTCTGAAGAAACATCACAACAGAATCCAGCTCTTTGGCAGTCAATGGCAATGACAACTTGCGATTTGATGCAAGAGCAGACAAGGCCAAAAGCTGAATCTGTGCAGAAGAGCACAAATGAAGTTCAGATCATTGCCCTTGAATTGAACTACTGTCCCATGGAACCAAGATGATGCCAACCTGACAGTCAGAAGATTCAAAAGCTGCTTCCAAATTGGAGGGACTGATGATTACACTCTCTGATGTGCAACATAAGACAGCTCGGAGGTATCCATCCGCAACTAGGTCTCTCCCATGGAAGTGATCCAAGATACCAGGATCGATGGCAGTCAAGGCCTTCAAAAGAACATCAATGTGTTCTGATATTCTTCTTTTCCCTCCTGTGTCTTTCAGCACCTCAAAGATGGGTATCAGAAGAGCCTCTTTGCATGAAGAGGATCCCTGTTGATAGAGTTCTTTGTAGACCCCCACAGCCTGTATGGAGCACAATACTATACGTAAGAGAGGGAGGGAGATTGAAAATAGAGAATTACTGCTGCCCAGTATAACCATGGTTGTAATAATGATTCATATGAGTTTCAACCAGTTCTTACTCTCCATTGGCAAGAGATGAACAACTGTGCTTCCATAAATTCTGAAGGTATTTCAAGTAGCCACAGATAGAAAAGAAGCAAGAAATGATGAGTTACTCCATATATGTGAGTAGCAGAGAAGGCTCACCTGAACTGCTTCACTAGTTAGATCAAAGACACCCACACTAGGCAAAGTGCCACATTTACATTTCCATGAAGTTATTTTCTTAATGCATTTTTTCTTTAATCCCTGAAAGTCATTGCTTTGTAGAATTTTGGAAAATGGAATAGACCTTCAACAGAAAAGGGATGTTAGTTAACTATACTTGATCAAATGCTCATGCATTTTTCAGGGTATGGTCAACCAAATAGAGGGTATTTCTGGATGACATTGATCCAGGTATGTTATATGTATAAATGAAATGGGTATATTGTGCCAGGTAATGGAACTACTGTTATAGAGTTGCACCCACCACAGGGCCCAGCATAGGATCATCCAGGAGAAGGCCAACCAACACAGATGGGAGCTCAGGCCACTGCTCCAGTATCTTCCTGAAGCCAAATACTCGCACAATGGGGTCCAGAGCTCGATAACGTACCTTCCTTCCCTTGCTCATACCTTCTACTTCTTTCAGGATCACTCTCTGCATCAGGTCAGCATCTTCTAGAAGTATATATGCATCATGTATGCTGTTATGACAGAGACAATCTGTCAAAAACTGTCAAATTGGATTTCAGTAGAATTTTTATTAATCTGGCAGGTCTAATATACAAGCCAACATTAACTTTGTTTTACTGAAGTTAGCACAAAGACAGATCTAGAAATGTCTCAAGAGGTGTCATATGCCAATTTTGCTAGATGGAGGCAGTAACTAGGGATACAATATGCCAATCAAATGAATCACTGTTACAAAATCATAGAGGTAGAAGATTCTTACTGGACTGGATTTTTTTGTGTCTCAATGCATTGTTTGAAAATTCATAAAATGAAAAAGAAGCATTTGTCTTTTCTCTTGAGAAAAATTCCAAGGGGAAACAAAGAACCACTAAAAGTAAAATAGGATGCAGTAATGTAAATTTGCATGATTTTCAATTTGATGGAAACAAATGCAATTTGTAAGCAACTTTTGCCAATTTTGAAAATGAAACCTTCAATACTCAGATCTGATCCAGGAGGTAACTTAGACTTTAGTCTGTATAGAATGTGCCCAGTTAACCTTCCAGAAATGTATCATGAATGTGTTTTAGCAAAATATGCCTTTCAGGTAGATTTTTCGAAGCTCAAAACCATGTAAGTCCCAAGTCTGACTTCTCAATACCATATTTTCTCAAGAACAGTATGCCACTGTGTATAAGAAGCACCCCCGCTTTTGAGGTCCCAGTTTGTGTAAAAAAGATTCCTCGTGTATAAGGCACGCCCCCCTATTTCGTAGCGAAAAGTGTTGGACAAGGGAGATGAGTAAGGGGTAAAGCTAGTCATGAGGTCGGTTGAACCTAGTTTCTTATTCACTGTCCTGACCTTTTTTGTGGGGAGCACAGTATCCCTAACATTTGTCTTTTATTATCTGTGAAAATGGATGGAAATGTACAACGAAGATACAGAGCAGCAGAGAAATCAATGTGTTTCAGGAAGCAAAGGAGTTGAGCATCCAAGCAATAGGTCGTAAATATGACATTGAGGAAAGCTGTATACAGAAGTGGATCGAGGTGAAGGTGAAATTGAGCTGGGCTCAAAAGAATCTCATGGTCTTTCGTGGGAAAAAAGGGATAATTTCCAGTAATCAAGAAGGAAGTGGCAGAATACGTAAAAGTGTGAGTCCATACTTCTGTAGTAAAATCCTTGATGAAGCATACCGTATAAACACTTCACTTCATTCTGGCACTCTAAGCTTGTTTTTGGTCTTAAAATGATGGTATATATGCAAAAATAGGTTATGAAGGTGGGAACCAGAAAGATTGCAAGAGTAAACAGGATCTCCCAAAGAAAATTTAATGCATCATGATGATAAACAGCATGATTTATGAAGCAAATTGGATTTTATCTTCATTGGAAAACCTATGTGGCTCAAAAATTTCCTTGGAGAAATAATTGTCTCTGGAATGGCCCCTCAGAGAAGGATAAGAGCTCCATGAATCAATTTTCCACACAGCCAGACACTTCAGATTTTGATATTGACACTGAATGAAGTCCACGAATCAACGTAGCCATTCCCTGTTTACTGTTTTATTATAATATTATATTTCCCACTGTTCTGACTGATTACAGACACTGTTTCTACCTCAATAAGTGATTAATGAGTTATAGGTATGCTGAAAAAAAAATTTTTTCCTATTTTTTTGTTAATTTAAGTTCATTTAAGTCCCAAGTCTGACTTTTCAATAATTAAACCTTTTCAGAAAAAAGTCTTATTTGTTCTGTTAAAATACTGGACATAATCATGATTAATTTCATCATTCAATGGTCAACTTCTCACAATTGTAAAAATGTTAGAACCATGTCTCAATCCATCCACGCACATATATATATAAGATGATACCATACTTCTGCTTTCTGCAGGATGTCCCAACAGCATGGAAAGAAAAATGCTATCTCCATCAAGAACATCTTGTTCAAGGGCACAAATGTTATCAAAGTAATGATAATCCCACAAGTTCACCTGCTTTTAGTTCTACCTAAATGATTTCACTAAAAAAAAAATAATAGGAGCTATTCTGACCTGAGTGACATGACTTTGAGATGGCCTTGAGGAGAGATGAGAAAGCTTCCAATGTGGTATGCCTCACTGTGGCCATGTAGTGGTCTAGCCCAGACCAGACAATAAGCAAGACATCTCTCACTTCTCTTTCTGTCACAGGGAATGCATCAGATGCCAGCAAAGCACTGCACCACTGGTTCAGCAGTCGATAGAATGCAAGAGATTCCACATTGCTGGTCTCCTCCCTGTGTTCCATCAGTGAGCCCTCATTCAATTTTTACTCAAGGATAAAAGTGGATGAGTCAGCGAATTTGACAAAGTGAGAATAAAATTCTCGAAAAATCAAAATGGATCACAAGAGTTTCAGTACGGTGCCTTCAATGAAGATAGTACAATTTTAAATTGCATAGCAGGTGCAAAAACTGAAGGTTACAATAACCTCTGAAACAAGAATTTTGACACTAGATCCATCAGATGTAGGTTGCATTTAAAAGGATACTGCACTTCAAGAGTATAATAGCAATACAATAGTCAAAACTTGCTGGGCCAATCAAGGTGCTGATATAGCATGCTTGGGAAATATGCAACATCAGTTTACCACACTATGGCCAGGTGTGGGAAAAGACAGGCAAGCCCTAGGATATCAATCTGTCTGGTCACCTTGTGCATCCCAAACATGGCTTATATCATATTCATCCAGCCATATCCATCCAACCAGTCACTGATGCTAATATTAGGGTGGCATGAAATTGCCACCAGAAAACCTTGTACAGTGGACACTAAGCTCCATTCTGATCCAAGAAGAATCAATAAAACATAGTTTCTTCCTTCTTAATGCAAAATTTTAACAAAGTTCCAGTTAATATAGTAGGCCATCAAAAAAACCCATTCCTTCATTCATAGAACTTTTCTCATACCTGCCATGAGTCATGTCCCTAACACCTCCTCTATATTCAACAGCCTTTGGGCCAATGTTGCACATTGTGTTGATTCTTATTCAAGATTACCATGGTAAGTCTTTGATATGCTTCCTTAGACATCAGAAGAAAAGATGATTTGAGCAGTATATTTTTGGCTCAGCAGAACATGTAGTACTTTTACATGTATCATATATGATGAATACATCATAATTTATCATTCATGAACATCCCTGTGAGTTGTCAGCTTCCAAGCAATAAGTTAGGACTGGGATTGATGTAACCTACTTCAAAATCACAAAATTCAGTAACAGCTGTTCTCTCCATGGCAGTGATACAAATCACACAGATAAAAAATTAATAAATTTCAAATACCTTGATATGCATTATAATTGTAAAATACTTATTACATTCATGAATTCTTCAATGGAAAAACTGGAATGCAATAAAATCAAGCTCACACTTTGGCATGAAGATGGACAATAACTCTGAGAGATCCTTGAAGAATGGAGGAATCAGTGGTTGGGAAATGATGGAAGGAACTGATCACAGCAAAGAGGAATGCCATTACAGCAGACAAGCTCAACCTCGATAAATGACCATCCAATTTTCCATGCCAATTATTCCAAGAATCCACCTATTCATGAATGAAAACTGGTTTTAAATCACTTCTCCAAATTAAATGAGGCATTGAATGCTGCATTTGCAAGACTCACAATATCTGATATGGAGATGCCATTCAAAGAGAGGATGACAGTGAGAGCAAGGGATGCATTCACCATGAGATCATATGGCATGTGAGATATCTCCAGAAGAGACCAAAGCGATTCATTGATGTTTTTGGGAACATCATCTTTGCTCTCAGTTGGGGAAAAGCCTCTCTGCACCAGCTGATGAATCATTCTCAATAGTGCCTGAACTCTATTCAATATCATCTCATTCCCCATATCTCCATGTCTGAAAACAATTGAATTCTCAAGCTTACATCAATCATTTTTTGGTAAACTGAAAATTCTCTATGGACATTAGATAAAAAGTACAATTCCTCTGTCGAGAGTATTCAAGAGACAGCTAGTAAGTTCAATCATCATGAATGGCGAAGGAGGACATACAGGACATATTCAGTAACTGGACACTCTTCTTGCTATCAGTGATTGCATTGATACTCTCCTACTGAGCAAGCATAAAGTTTGAGTGAGGGGAGTGCAACTACACAAATTGACAGAAGGGTCCATGTAAATTTAGTAAAGGCATACCTGAAAATATTGTTACATCTAGCCAATGGACCCTGGTCAACTTGAATGAAACACAACAAAATTCCAATTGAGTTGAGTATCAGGGTTCATGGAAGTTGCCATGTGGTTCTATTTCTACATGTTATATAATTTTGCTTCTTCACCTACTTGGGTGCAGGATATCAAGTCCTGTAAAATTCTAATATTGGAAGGAAACTCCAGTAATGATATGAAAGAGGATATATACAGGGAGGCCAAAAAAAAAAAACTAAGCTGTCATTTTTGGTGAGTCATCAATCTCATTGTAGGAAGCCAATTCTGATCAAATTTGATAGGTTTATAGGGTGACACAATTGGAGTTATTATACCGAATTTCAGACATCTGGCTATAGAATTACAGGAGCTGTAATTATTTTCTGATGACCCATGACAAAATGTGCCCTTGAAAAGATCAGTATGAACATCATATTTGGTCTTCCAAATCCTACTTGAGGACCAAATTCATGACCTTCCATCCCTGCATGATGCTATAGAGAAAGATTGGGAGGCACTGCCTTAAAGATTTATTGACCAAGTCATTGATCTGTGGCGTTCCAGACAAGAGACTTGTGTTCAACAGAATGGAGGGCACATAGAGCACCTTTTCAATTGAAATTAACCTACCTACACCATATTGTGTGCTTTCATTTTTGGCATTATCACATTATGTTTTGTTTGTTTTTTTTTGTTTGCTTGTTTGTTTTTGTCAGTTGTGAGAAATTTTAAGTTGAAAGAAAAAATGAACACTTACTTTTTTGGTGATGAAAAGTAAATTAAATGCCAATCTCAGTTTATAGAATTGTGAAACTAGGCAGACAAACCCTAATTGAGTCATTCTATGTGCCTACCAAATTTCAGCAGAATCGGCAGCCTAAAATCAGATCAACAACTCACCAAAAATGATAGCTTTGTTTTTTGGCCCACCCTGGAGTTCAGTAGATAATTCTGGAATTGCCAAAAATGTTTCAATTAAATATGTAATACTGTCTACATATACCTCATTGATTTAGTAAGTTGTTGCAGCCCCTCTGCAAGTACTGATTCATTTCTCTCCCAGAGTGTGTGAAAAAACTTAGTCTCATTGATTTCCTCCTGATCAACAAGTATGAGGAGATCTGAGAGCTTTCCAGGAATATTATCAACAAATAGCTGGTCATCCATGACTCCATCCTCATGATTCTTCAAGAATGATTTCTTCAGGATCCAAGATGTGAGGAACTGAATGTCATCCACTTTCAGACAGCACTTGCAAACCTCAAGCAATCTGTACAAAGGATGGAAAAATTTGTAAAATCAAAGAAGCAATATGTAAATATACTTATGATAAAAAATTAGGGACCTATTCTTTTCTATTATATGGATTATGATTGTTAATTACATTTCTACTCTAAATTGCTGCATTTAGGATGCAAGCTGAGATACAGCAAAAAAAAACCTTTCAATTTAGCATTCCAAGCCTTTTTTTAATTCTCTGTCCATCTCTCCAGCAACTCTTCCTAATGCAAGTTTTTGGGCTTAAATATTTATACTAGGCTGATCAAAAAGGAATGAAACTTTGGCAGCAGCTCACTCAACACTCATCAAAATTGTAGGCCACTCTGCAGGTATCAACTACGCTCACTTTGCGACTCATTGTAAAAATTTCAGTGGTCTTTCATTCGAGGAACTCTGTTGGTGATAAAAATAAATCGTCACAGTTAGTAACTTTTGGCAGATTTTACTGGAATGGCAGCACTGGAGCAGAGAGCAATCATGAAGCTCTGAAAATATGTCGCTGAGACTCTCAAACTTTTGCAAAAGATGTACACACAGATACCTGCAGTAAGTACCTGCTGTACATAGGTACATTTATTTAGGTACATTATAAGCAACTCCTCATTGTTACAAATTAACTTGATTAGATTTGTAGGTTGCTTGTGTTTATACATATCACTGCTGTTCAGTCCCATCATGACTCATCCCAGTAGGAGTGACACTGCAGTCAATTAAAGATGGTCATGTGGTGGCATGCAGAGTAGTTTTGGCAGTTCATTGTGTCACATGGGTAACAGAGAGCATCAGGATTCAAGCAAGATACACTTTCCTGTTGAGCAATAGGTGTTTCTTCTTGAAGTTTACATTGAAACAGTCTTTTCAATGGTGTGTGGAAAGGTTTCCAGACAAATATCCTGGTGTATAACTGCAAAATAAAAATGTAGTACAGAATTGTTGGATTTTGTAAAATACAATTTATCATCCCTCAAAAACATATATGCTGCTTCATCAGAAATTCAGCCTGAAGAGCTAATCAGGATATTGAGGAATATGATGGACAGGATACAGAAATGTATTGAAGTTAATGAGCTCACTTCCTACATTTAATAAGGTGCTCAAGTACATGTGCATTCATCATTATACCAACTTTCAAGAAGTTAGCCCAGTTAGAGAATAAGACTCTCCTATGCATTATACATGAGACGTTTTGAGTGAGTATTATTCTGGAGGTGTCACCTTTGATCCATCCACAAAACTGACATAAAATCAATTTAGTTCTATTCCAGAAGACAGGAAAATTTCTTTAGGTTTTGCTATTCTCTTTCAACCTTCTTGCCAAACAACACAAGGAGAAGGAAATGTAAAAGGAAAATATCAGGGATAGATTGCATGAAAAACTGAAATTAACCACGTCAATTTTCATGACATTAAAAAAAAAAATTTCCAATAGGACTCCAACATGGGTGAAAGAGACGACTATCATTGAGCCAAAGTTCAAGGCAGTTCAACTCATTTCCAAATTAAAGTTTTAAAATCTGCAAGAGAAGAACCTGCTGAAAGGATGAAAGTAAATATAGTGAGAAGCCCTGAACTGGAAGGTGCAAATATAGCCAATCCCCTCAGATGCCAGGTTTGGCTTGACTCTAACATGGTCAAGGCATCTAAAAGGCAAAAGGTTAATTTTCAAATGACTAACATAACTCTCCCTGGGAACGAACCTGTAAACCCTTCTCCTCATTGGAGATCCTTGGTCCAATGACAAATGCATGATGATCATTATATTTGCAGAATGCCTGAGAGAAGCTGTCTCCTGAGTTCTTTGAAGGTAGTTCTCCAACTGTGAATGAGGAAGAACAAGAATACTGAGGAAAGAGAGACACATTGAAGAAAAACCATGTGGAATGTAAAAATGAGAAAGTCTCTTTCGAATGCTTCTTTACAAACCTCAGTTAAAATGCCAACAGCAGTCAAAATCAGAGAGTACAGAAAACCAAAACTTTGCTACATTTTCAAGAAATATTGAAACAGATTATGCATATAAAGATGTTTCTTACAGAGTTTGCACACTATCTCATTTTTTGGGATACAGATATCAATAGCAATTTCATCACAATATTTCTCAGATTCTAAGTTTCCTCTATCTGTTATTTTAAATAGATTCTCAAACTGTTTCAGAACTTCAATTCTTAAAAAATTATCTAAACCTATCACACTTACATCTTGTAAAACTCCTGATATGGAGGAAACTTCTCCTCCCTCCAGAAGGTGGTTAAGAATTCCATGAAGATCTTGATCCAATTTCACATCTAGAGGAAAGCATTAGGAGTGAATTAATCCAGAGAAAACATAAATATGATATAAATCAGCTCAGGTTCTACTCCATCTAATGAATTATGCTCAATAAATTTCCTTAGGCAATCAGATGAGGGAAAGGATAAAATCATTTCACAAAATTTTTTTAATAATTCAACTGGACAGCATTGAGAGGAATGACATTATGCACACAGTACTTGCGACATCATATTCAGACGATTGCTTCTTCTGACTATCAAAAGAAGAAACTGGCCTAGGTCTTTGATCTAGGCCAGTTAAAACCTATGCATCCTGACCATTCAACGTATGGTAAGTAGTTGATCTCCCAGCTTTACAAGGCATCTGCTGGTGTATATAACCAGATTAGAACCTTTGATACTTCCTGAAATCCTGAATGACAGAGGATAAGAGTTGTGGCAGCTTATTCTTCTTTCTGGACTCTTTCTCTTCTTCTTGAAAGCCATGTCAATCGCCTATCGAGACTTTGACCTGCCCCCATGCACACTAACCTGAATTGAAGTTTTCCTTCATGAAACTCTGCAACGCAGGCACAGAGACACTTTTTTTGCTCGCTTTCTTCTGCTGCTTGCCGCTTAGCCTAACGCCAGGCCTGTTCTTTTTCCATGCCATTGACTCCATCTGACGTGAAGGAAAAATAAAATAAGCATGAAGTCAAATGTTCAGTTTTAGGTCGAGAACATAGACTAGGTCTGGTTTTGTTGAACTTCGTATACAGTAAGGATGAGCCACGTGGTCTCATCCAGCGGCTGTGGGCCGCCATAACTCAGTAACAACGTGGTTTTACAAGGCTGCCACGCAATTGGAATGGAATGGAACTAATCCAGTGGAAAAGATGATCGTCGTAAACTGAAGTCTTACATTGGGAAGCAACGAACTTTATTGAGCAGTGGGGAAGGATTTACGTCATTGCGCTTAGCAATGGCAACCAAGGCTTACCTCTCGTGTTTTTCACTTGAGCCAGACAGTTTTTCTCTTGATAAGGGAAAAAATGTCGGATGGAATTGTAGCTGAATTGAACGATGTCTCAACCTTTTTTTAGCTGCAGTCCTAATTGAGGAAGGGAACAACATTTTTAGGAATTGCTCACTGCATGGAAGGAACTGGAACAGGTTCTTTTTCTCACATGATATGTCCTACTTCGGAATTGATCCTTTGTCATTCCTAGAGTTAGCTAAATCCCGCTCTGTGCGATCAATGACAGCAAGGCGTCAGTGGTGAACTTCTTTCCCAGTTTGGGAAATGCGACAGCCACTAAATTAAGGTCTGCAATGAGAACTCCGTCCAACCATTTTTCTGGGAACGAGTTTAGATGCTTAAATTTTATGGGCTGGGTGGGAGCATGCCCCCCATCCGCTTATACACGACATGGAATGAGAAGTGTGACGGAAACTGCTCTGCACTGCGAGAACTTGCACAATGTCAAATATGTTTTTCTGCTAATCAATTTTAGCTTCTATATCTCACTACGCTGTATGCGGTTGAATCTTCCTATGTGATCCCTACGCATTGGTTCCTTTAGCGCACCACTCAAAATTGCTCATATGCACAGCATGCGAAAAATTATCTTTATATAGCTACAGAAACAATATGCTCTCAACTTTGACTTTCATTTACATATTATGCATCGCATCGGCTGAGGATATGGATCCGTGCATGTACACTTGCGCCATCTCTAGCTACATTTTGAAAGAACTGTGATCGTGAAGGTGTTCACGACCTAGATCTACTGGGTGACCTGAAAAAAAAAACAAGAATTATCTCTAATTCTCCGTTCCGTCTCCTCTCTGTCAATGCTGTCCTTAATCCTAACGGTTCAATGTAGGCTTATTTGCAATACTGCCGAAATACTTGTGAGCAATTTTGATGATCTTGAGCTGAACCCATTTGATATATATAAGGTGTTTCAGAAGTCACTGGCCAAAGGAATTATCGATCACAAATATTGAAATATATGTTATTGCATGCCCTGCATGCAAATCAGAAGTACTAGAAGGATTATTTCAACTTTCTGCAGAATATCTTACTTAACTATTATGCACACTCACAAACTGAGATGAAGGAAAAAAGAGTTACCCATTTGACCAGAGACTTTTGCAACGCCCTGTAGATGATAGAATATTACTTGCTTCACGCCAAAGTCAAATAAAGATATTTGCTTCATTTGGCCCCAACGTGTAGAACCCAAAACGTCAATTCAAAGTCCACTACGTGAACACGTGGCAACGCATCCTCGTCACAGTCTTTGCTAATTTACCATTAAAAAAAAAAACATGAGTGGTGGGGTGTCATAAGCAAGGAATGAGAAAACCGCTCGGAATCCTAAGCCCCGTTTTAGGCATAACTATATATGACCTTCTTTCACTGATTGGATTCGTGTCCTAGCAAGAGGAATGAGACAAGGTCATTGGGAATATGTGAAGCAGGAGCCATGAAGGGCAAGACAGCCGCAGGGTGAGGGATATGTCCGGACAAGCGCCGAATCCTTTCCTTGCCTACACCGCTGTTTGTTTTCCTTTAATTTTTTTTAAAAGTTATATTGGGCAAGCAAACCTCATCGATGGTAAAGCGGAAGAAGGTCCTAGGTCCCCGAAAGGCGCCCTCGCATCATGAGCCGGTGTAACAACCTCAGATTGCTGTCAGACTGGGAGAATCCATCTTTGAAGGAGCCTAAGTCTTCTCCAATGCATCACCAACGATGAAAATTCGCAGAGGGGTACCACTGTATTCTGCCCGACGACACTGCCCTGCCTCTGCTCGATGACTTGAAAGGTGAGAACAGGGTCGGACTGGCCTACAGGAATGCAGGAAAATTTCCCAGGGGGCCCCCAGATCAAAGGAATCTTTGTCAGAAATTTCCCGGGGGCCACTAGGTCACCAGTCCGATCCTGAATGAGAAAGCGACGCTCTTACATTCCCTCCTTCTTGACTCTCTCCGATTTCAGATTAGTATTGGACAGATCGGGAGCGAATACAAAGAACAAGTTTGCTCGTTCTTTACCAGAGGTCAGAGGAGAAAGGCCAGGATATTCGCAGCCATTGAGGAAACCTCTCTTGGTTCACTTAGAACCGTTAGTACCGTAATACCTTAGCAAACTCTGACCGGGATCCACCAACAGCCACGAACAGCATCAAGGCGTCAAGTAGACTTCAACGATCTGATGGAAAGGTTACGCTGAAGCATAAGGTCAATTAATTGAATTTGGACATGGCAGCACAGGCCCATTGCATCACATAGAGGTGTCGACTATCTAGGTGGGGATTTCTTGCATTTAATCTTATAGGAAGTCTGGTTTCCCTTTCGCTATTCGCCAAAAACGGCGATTGGCCGCAATTTCTTTTTTCTTTATCTCTCAAGATCGAGTTTTCCTCTGCATGAAGCGTATCCGGCCTGGTGTTGCACGTAGTGTTACCATACATCCGGTTTCCTCCGGACATGTCCTTTTTCACCTTCAAATTTCCGTCCGTTCCGTCCCTGGTTACACTTGCTCTGCACGTTTCAAACAAAAGAATTCACACACCTCCCGACATCATGATGATGCAGTTTTGCAGTTCCAACTACGAGGAAAAGTGTTGGAAAACGACAGTGTATTGAGCCATGAGAATGTGCCGCGAGCCGTGAGAATACCATATAAAAAATATTAATAAATTAATAAAACTTTTTCAAACCGGGAATTGCCTCGTCGGATGAACTTCCATCAGCTGTGCGAAGGGAATCGCGGAAGCGGAGCCGCCGGGGAGGAAGGAAGTCTGAACGCGGAATCAGTACACGACGAAACTAGTCGATTACCTCACGCGCATGCGCAGAGCATGTTTTCATTTCTGCCTCGTGTTCAGCCCTCGGGCCTTCGTTTTGGCTGTATCTCGGCAACCCAAGTGCCATCGTGTGGCTGTGCAAAAATATATTATCGACGGATACGTGCATTGCTAAGGTTGAGAGACCGTGAGGTTGCTGTAACGTCAAAGTGAGCTTGAAGTGTCGAGACTTGCCCCTAGTTTGGCTTCCAGTTGAATCGAGCAGACCCCAGGACAAAAAAACTGTTCGAGTGTAGCCTAGCCTGGCCAAGCGGTGTCAGATTCCGAACGCATCGAAGTTGGAAGAAGCCGTCGTCGTCCGTCTGGGCCTACTGTTTCTCGTCTCCTCGTCCGGTAAGTCTTGTAGTCATTGCGTTTTACTCGTCGTTATGGACGCCCAGATTAGGCTATTCAAAGAATCCGGAGAAACCTTCCCACAGCTCCCGCACTATTCAGGGGGCTCTCCTCAGGTGAGTCGGACAAATGCCACTGGCAGGCGAAGAACAACGAGAAATGTTTGATCCAGGAAGGGCTTCCCTTTCTTTCCGGCTTTACTCTTTTCATTCGGGTGGATATTGCAGTCGTTGTGCTTATTGATATCACTCTCGAGGTGAGTCCCAGTGGGATCATTCTACAAGGGCCCGCAAAAGTCGCAGAGAAAGGAGCTTTAAGACTAGTACAGACAGTGGCGTGCCCAAGGGGGGGGGGGGGGGGTTGTGGGGCATAACCGCCCCCTTGGGGGCAATTTTACACGTTTGGGGGGGGGGGGGGGGGGGGGGGGGGGTTTGTGGGTCATAACCGCCCCCTTGGGGTCAATTTTACACGTTCGATTCTGCAAATTTTTTTTTTATTTTGTCACAAATACAGGATGGGTTATCAGTTTTTTTTAAATGTTAACCCCCCCCCCCTCATTAAGGTGGGTAATCAGTGTTTCATATGGCGACCCCCCCCGCCCCCCCTCATTCGGATTTCCTGGCCACGCCACTGCGTATAGGTACAGATTCTCCTTTTCGAAGCATATCTGACCCGATGAAACTGGAAAAGCGAAAATCAGCATTACTCTGTAAATACTTCCCGAACCGAAGCAAGCAGACGTGGGGCACGTAGATCAGAAAGCAAAAACTTGAAATATGCTGGATCCGTTTCAAAGAGCGTC